CATTTTTGTGTTGATTTTGATGTTTGTTTTATATTACTGTCTTGATGGAAAATCCAACCACAGTCCATTATAAGATTCCTATCAGAGGCAGTCAGGTTTAGATATTGTATATGTTGGTATTTGATAGAATCCATGATGCCATGCATCTGAACAAGATGTCCAGGACCTTCGGCAGAAAAACAGGCCCACAACATTAAAGATCCAGCAGTATATTTAACCACGTGGGCATGGGGTACTTTTTATCCCTGTTTGTACTAAACCCATCTGGTGGGTTTGCTGCCAAAAAGCTCTTTTTTTTTAGTTTCATCTGACCATAGAAGCCAGTGCCATTTGAAGTTCCAGTCGTGTCTGACAGCTGAATTTGCTGGAGTTTGTTTTAGGAAGAGTGAGGAGAATATTTCTTGAAACCCTCCCGAACAACATGTGATGTAGTTGCTGTTTGCTATATTTTTTTAGGCTTTCTGACCCCAAGACTCAACTGGTGCAGATCCACCTCTGGGCATAATGGGCTCACCCATCACTCTTGGGCTATCTAATCAAATAACATTGAATGATGACAAAACGAGGGTTTTCGTTTTGTCGTTTAGACTTCACAGAACATCTCTGATATAGTGCAGCTCCGCCTTACTTTTAATGATCTGATCCCAGTTTTGCTGCTACATCTTCAGTTTCTCTCTGTCTGCAGCCCATAGCAGTGATCCTGTGTCCAGGGTGGGAGAAGGTTCAGACAGTGCTGGAGCTCCTGGAGGACAGTAAAGCAACTTACAACCTCCATCCCACCAGTGTGCTGCTGGGTGTGGACCAGGAAGAGCCCAAAAAGTTCAAGATCCAGAGGAACTGTACGTTTTTATCTGCAGTAGAAGAGATGTCGATTGTGGAGAGTTTCATTCGAATCTGGACCAAAACCAAAGCTTGCTGTGTCTGTCTTTGTGATGTTAATAAAGGTCAGTTGCTGGTGACAACACCGTTTACAATGATGAGGCTGCTGGATGCTCAGTGCTTCCTGTTCCTGAGACTGTGTCACCTGGTGCTGGATGAGGCTGATGTCCTTTATTCACAAGCACCTGAGCAGGTGACAAGAGAAGAGGACAGCACATTTTTAGCTGTTGATACATACTCAAAATTTGTCTGACCAGTTTTTGCTCTTTACCTCTCTGTGAAGATGTCAGTAATCCTGAAGCACTTCCAGAAGGTGGTCTCTGGAGAGGAGAGGTCCTCGTGCCCCAGGCAGATCATCGCGGTGGGCAGCCGCTGGAGCGCTGGGATAGAGGCTCTGGTCAGAGAGCACATGATTTACCCCTCCATCATCATAACCGTGATGGAGGAGGCAGCTCTGTACGGCAGGGTACATCAGGTCAGTCTTCATAAACTCAGTTATTTCTCTACCGCCCTCTACTGAGCTCTGACATCCAGTCTGTTTCACATTCAGAGGGTTCAGCTGTGTCTGGACTGCGATAAGATCTCCGTTCTGCTCGGATCGCTGGACTTCCACCCGCCCAAACCCCAGAAAACCCTCATCATTACCAACTCCGCTGAGGAGACCGAACATGTGTATAAGGTACGGAATTCCACCAATCACAGTGAAGGGTGAGTAGTGATCCACCAATCAGATTTAAGAATTTAATCATCCCTCTGTGGTGATGAAGATCTAAATTTTGCTTTCATGCTTGACATTACAGAATGATTGCACAAAAGTTTGTCCATTTTCTACTGGCAGTTAAAATGTTTGCTAGTTGAGATTATGGCAGTATTTTGAACCACTAATGTCTTAATGCTGATTGGCCTCCGCTTCTGATGGATTTTTACTGTAATGCACATCTGTCATTCAGGCTGTGGTCAACACTGCCGTGTTCACACTGAAAGCTCATGAAGATGTGACGGATCAGTTTGACTTTGTCATTGATCAGTGGAGAAAAGACATTGGCCATGGAACGCAAGTCATTCTGGGTAAGTATTCGTAATGTCAGCTGTCAAACTAAATGTTTTAAGGTTTGTCTGTTTTTAAGTTATTTGTTTCTTTCCAGGTAATAATTTTAGTGCCTAGAGCAGACATTTTGTTGGTTAGCCAAAAAAAAGTTTTCGGTTTGGAGAACTTTCCTTTAACCTCTGTTATTCTTTATCTTCTATGTGTGACCCTGGAGCACAAAACCAGTCTTAAGTCGCTGGGGTGTATTTGTAGCAATAGCCAAAAATACATTGGATGGGTCAAAATTATAGATTTTTCTTTTATGCCAAAAATCATTAGGATATTAAGTAAAGATCATGTTCCATGAAGATATTTTGTAAATTTCCTACCGTAAATATATCAAAACTTCATTTTTGATTAGTAATATGCATTGCTAAGAACTTCATTTGGACAACTTTAAAGGCGATTTTCTCAATATTTTGATTATTTTTGCACCCTCAGATTCTAGATTTTCAAATAGTTGTATCTCGACCAAATATTGTCCTATCCTAACAAACCATACATCAATGGAAAGCTTATTTATTCAGCTTTCAGTTGCTGTATAAATCTCAATTTTGAAAAATTTACCCTTATGACTAGTTTTGTGCTCCAGGGTCACATATGTCAATAATTAGTGTATATAAGCTTTATTCTTTATTTATTGTTTGGTAAATATAAGCCATGAATCTCATAACAAAAAAAAAAGGATTTAATTATTAAAAAGAAAAAAATAAACGGGTAGCCTATTTATCATTAACACAAAATAACCTAACCCAAATTTTATATGTACGTTTTTGAAGTAACTTATTACAAATAATTAATTATCACACAAAAAAACTCCATGTATTGTTCTGGAAAGGTTAGTTCATGGTTTTAAAAATAAAACCTAAAAATAATCATTAGAGAACATTCAGAATATGTTTTTAATAGGTTGTTTAAAAAAATCAGTTTGCAAATTCTGGGAAGGTTTGTTTAGGCTATAAAGATACTTAAAAATAATCCTTAGAGAACGTTCTGTGTAGATTCTTAAAGGGGTCATATAATGCTACATGCACTTTTACAAGTTGTTTGAACTGAAATGCGTGTTGGCAGTGTGTGTACACAACCACCCTAAAATGATAAAAATCCACCCAGTGTTTTTTTTTAAAAAATCTTTACATTTTTTAAATAAATCTTTTTTTCTTTACCCCTTTCTCAAATCGAGCCGATCTCAGATGCCTGTCTGTGTGACATCACACA